GTTCAAGCCCCACGACCGACATACACACACAAAAAAAAATGTTTCCAAGAAGATATATCATAGTATATTTAAAGCCTTATATTAAGGGTAAGCAATTAAGCTTTATGAAACACCTGAAATCTTAAAAGGTATACACTGAGGCACATTGTAGGACTAATTAATTTGATATGGCTGATTTAGTAAGGGTACATTGATTCCTAAAATAAGTAAACACTGGGCAATAAATACTTGCATATTTTGATTAATTTAAATTTTCCTTAATAATGTTACAATTGTTAGACAACATATTTTGTTATCTAACTTACTTTCACATTTTCTGGCTTCCTTATTTTAACAACTGAGTGATCATCTGACATTCTCTTTTTTAGCTCTTCTCTAAGAAAAAATAACTCCAGCTTCCCAAGTTTATCAGAGGAAGTTTAGAGCATACTTAACTTTCTAGCAATAAGAAAAGTGATTTGATTTGCTCTGGCTACAGCCTAAGCCTACTCCAGGCTCATGTTCCTACATTAACATGCACTTCTACATTTATCTAGTCCAAATGTACTTTACCCTTCCTCTCAAAATATACCTAGCCCTAACTGAAAAACCTCCATGAGCACCATCAAAATCTATCATGACTAGACACTCAACCAACATTTATTAGCAACTTACTCTTTGCCAGATATTTCATTTTATATTAAAAACAAACAGCTAATATACAAACATTAACAGGTATAGTAGCATGCTACCCTGGGAAAGACGTTTTTAAGGAAAAGGTTGGGAATAATAAGCTTTAAACTTTTTGTCACAAATTTGCAAACTGAATATTCAGGTATTGAAAAGCCTTACAAAAGTTTATAACTGAGGGCAGGATGAAGTCAGGAATGTTTCCATTTTAATACAATACTCATCTGAGAGATGCTTTAGAGAACTAATTAATATTTGCAAAGTACTTAGTAATAAGCTCAAAGCAGAACATTAGACACAAATCAAAAGGCAGTTACACACAGTACAAAAAGAAGTCTGAGTAAACACGCAACTCATATTCAGTCTCTGAGGCAATATTAACATGAGTTTGTATCAAATATCAATATAAAATAGGTTTAAAAATTAAGATACCAAACAGCAACCCAAATTCTTTGTTAATAAAAGCAAATGTGCAACTTACGGTATTTACTGTGAATTTCATCTATTTCACTTTCTGTTTGGTCCTTTGTAAAAACCATCATCTAAAAATAATAATCAAGAAAGACATTTAAAACTCTATCTGAATAATAAAAATGAAATAATATACGCTTTGAAAATATCAAAAGCAGATGCTTAAAATGGAAAAAATAATCTCTTATCTCTATTTTATATACAACTAGAAAGGATAATTCCTAGGTGCTGCTTTTGATGATCAAACTACACTTTTACTGATTTTTTTTTCATCAATTAAAAAATGTAATAATACTGACTGTTGAGCTGGTTATAATCCTAGCTACTCAGGAGGCTGAGCTCTGAGGATCGCAGTTCAAAGCTAGTCCAAGCAGGAAAGTCTGTGAGACTCTTACCTCCAATTAACCAAAAGCCAGAAATGGAGCTGTGTGTCTCCAGTGGCAGAGCACCAGCTTTGAGCAAAAAAAGCTCAGGTAGAGAACACAGGCCCTGTGTTGAAACCCCAAGACCGGAACAAAAAAATAATAATTTTTTCATGCCATTATAATACATGAAGTATTAACAAAACAATCCATTAAATTTCCTGTTTTCAATTTCATTTCCCACATTCATTTATGCAACAATACTAGGAACAAAACTGAAGACATTAACCATTAATGAAGCACATCTTGTCTTCCTCTCCTTTCTACCTAAATCCTCTAAGTCATAGTGAAAAAGTTATATAGAAAGAAAATGCAATAATACAAGACAATAATACAATACATGGCAAATTTCTAATGCTGCTTTCTTCAGTTGCAGACCTGAAAAGACCAGCAGTTTATTTGCAGGCCACTTTGCAGTTACCACGTTACAGTTAGAACATAGGTAATAATAAAGTCAATGGAAATCCCATTTTTTCCACTTGCTGGTTATAAATCTACTTCCCTGAGGTCATTACTTTCTTTACAAACACATTAACAGAGGCCTAGAATAAAATCTAATTGGGAAGGCAGAAAATGCTTCCTCCAGTATCACAGAACACAATGGCTGTTTTAGTTTGGGAACTCCTTTCCTGAAATTTTGGGCCACAAAGCTAGAGAAAGGTATGCATGAAGAACGTTGTATTTCTGATTCCCTGAACAGCTCAACAGAAACTCTGATCCTCACAAACTCTTACAAGTACTTAATATATCCATAAGCATAATTAACTGAGAATTACAGAACTGCCCCAGCTGACAGAGGATCTTAGCAGTCACACGATTCAGCCCCATATTTATACAGATGAAGACTTGAGGGGGTCACAGAGATTATGTATCAAATGCAATGAGCAGAGAAAGGGCCAACTTCAAAGCTCCCTGATACAAAAGCACAAGCTTTTTCTATGCAACTCTAACCCATAATCACTCTGTAGTTTGGATTATATTTTATTCTATAAGTCTGACAAATATGAACAAATACTGTACCGAAGATGAGCTGCAAGTAAACCATACTACTCCACAGAGAAATGTGTTCTAGTACATTCCTTACTAAACCAACTTAATATAGCTGGCTTTAAATTTTCCTTCATTTCTACCCAGACACTGGAAGAGCCCCCTCAACATACACTCTCGTTGAGTTTACTTGCTTCAAGGCGCATCCTAGTCTTCTCCATGTTTTCAAGTTCTTGGGCTATTTCAGCAGCTGTTGAAATAAGAACATACAATCATGGTTAACTACTTTTTCGTCATTGTACCCTGCTTACATAAGTTGTTAACAGCAAAGGAAAATGGGTGATAGTATATATGAACTTCCTATTCTATTTTTGTAATTTTTCTGTATCATCTAATAGAATTTTTAAGTAACAAGCTTTAAAAAAATGAGTGAAAACACTAAATTCTTACACATGAACACAATTCAAAATATAAGCAGAAGTCAAGTAATTTTGCCTTCGCTTCTGAATAGGTCAGAACAATAATAAAAATGAATTTGTGAGTGTAAGTTCAATTTTATGGGCTATCTCCTCAAACTTCAATGTACTAAATGAAACAGACCTTTCAAGGAGAAAGGTCTATAGATACCAATGTCTATAGATACCAAGGGAAATAAATACCCTTGCTCCCCTCACCCCCGATCTTTCTGTGCATAGTTACCAATCACAATCAGAGGTCTTGGAATACAAATAGTGCAAAACTTGCAAATGCTATCTTTATGCACCTACACCTAGTCTATTCAACAGAAGTACTTATGGTTCAGCAGATCATCTTAGCATTTGGGGGTCTGAAATAGGAGGATCACAAGTTTAAGACCAGCCTGAACTATACAACAACACAGCAACACTCTGGCTCAAAAAAGAAAACAAAAAAAGTACATACTGTGTATAAAGAATGTATAATCCTTTACATACTTGTATATAAAAGGATACTAAGCCAAATATGCTTCAAAACAAGCGTTATAAGTAGTAGGCAGGAAATATCATGCAGCCTTGATAATTAAGTTGATAAGTATTTGGGGAACATCAGTATACACTTTGCTATATATGTTTACAATAATCCCTATTAAAGTTTTCTTTCTTAACCCACACTGAAGAATACAATAGCCTGGATTTAATAAATTATTGTTTTCAAGTCCTGAGAGGTATTTTTTGCCACCCTAATATTGGAAACAATGTCTCCTCTGCATGCCCAAGTGCCAGTACTTCTCTCCTTTCCAAACTGACTGCATCAAGGTAAACAGGAAAGCACAGGGACCGTTGGCATTCTGTCTAATCCAGTAACAAAAGCACTGTTCCAGATAGAGAACATCTGGCATTCCCTCCTCCACAGTACTAAGAAAATTATATTAGAATTAGGTACAATTTAGGGATTTAAGTCATTTTCAGGGAAATGACTGAGTCTGTTGAGGACACAGAAAGAAGAAAATAGTGGAACTCTCAGCCCAATAACAAGAAAAAGTTGGACAATCTAAAGAACCTTAATTTTTTCTTGAACCCAGAGAACTAAACCCACAGAACAACCAACTAGCCTGAAACCTAAGGAAAGACAGGTAGGAATGGGGATGTGGTGAGGTGGTGTGAGCAGAAGTATCTGTAAAGGGGACAGGGAGGTAAGGGGGAGGGTGTGTCATCATGAATAGCAGGCAGTGCACAAAAGAAAGATGGACCAAGATACTGGTAAGTTCCAATATTATCACTTGTTACAATTAGCTGACAAAAATGTTAGTCATATCATAAAATAAAATGGTGGAAGAGTAACCAGAAATACTTTTGATCAAGAGTAATATGTGCTACCATGTATAGTATTTCTAGAGGGCGATTAATGCATTACTAAAATACGTATTTTCAGTAGTTTAAAGATTAGGTTTGGCCAGGAGCTGGCTCACGCCTATAATCCTAGGTACTCAGGAGGCTGAGATCTGAGGATAACAGTTGGAAGCCAATCTGGGCAGGAAAGTTCCTGAGACCCTTAGCTCCAGCAAAACACTGAGAAAAAGCTGGAAGCGGCACTGTGGCTCAAGTAGTAGAATGCTAGCCTTGAGCAAAAGAAGCTCTGGTACAGGGCCCAAGTTCATGTCCCAGGACCAGAAGAAAGAAAAAAAAAGTTACCCTTAGGCTGGGAATGTAGCTTAGTGTAGAGTACTTGTTAAGCATGCACGAGGCCCTGGGTTTGTTTTCTAATACTGCATAAACAATAAATAAAATTAATAGAATTTTAAAAATAAACATTAAAAAATTTTAAGTTATTTTTAGCCAGGCACCAGTGGCTCATGTCTATAATCCTAGCTACTTAGGAGGCTGATATTTGAGGATCGCAGTTCAAAGTCATCCTAGGCAGGAAAGTCCATTAGACTCTTAGCTCCATTTAAATACCAGAAAACCAGAAGTGGTGCTGTGACTCAAAGTGGTAGAATACTACCCTTGAGTGAAAAAGCTCAGGGACAGTGCTCAGGCCCTGAGTTCAAACTGTTACAAAGGGAAAAGAAAACAACACAAGAACTAGAAGCAAAGTGAGACAAAGCCAACTAACTATGTATCAAATAAATAACACATACAGACTTGAGAGAAGCAAGAAAATTTAGAGACACACCCTCACTGAAGGTCATGGCTGCATACACAGAATGCTGGGGAGACAGAATTAAAATCAGTCCTGAACTCTTCACGGGCCTATTTTGTAAGGCGGCAGTAGAGTAAGGTGGAACAATTATAAAAATATATGAACAATTACCATGCTGATCCTATTTGCAGTGAGAATCCTGATAGAAAGAGAGAGAGAAAGGAAGAAAGAAAGAAAGAAAGAAAGAAAGAAAGAAAGAAAGAAAGAAAGAAAGAAAGAAAGAAAGAAAGAAAAGCACAAACAGAATAAGAGAAAGAAGCCTTCAGGGATTAAAATAAACACAACTGGTGTATTATATATTTATGACCTCTAAACTATATCAGTACAAATAGATTCACCCATAAACAGACATACAGGATGCATTTGCATCCACATCCACGATATGAGCCTTGTCTCAGTTATTTAGAATACTAAGCTGCCCAAAGAGCCTAGAAAGACTTCAACAAGGATTCTAGACAAGTAGCTAGTTGTGATCTCACTTTCATCAATTTAAAGAATCAGAGGTCCTCTGAATGCTTCAGTGCAATGAATGCTATCAGGGATGAGGGGAAACAACACATAGTGTGGTAAAGAACAAGACTAGCCTGCACTATTTCATTATGCCAGAAATAAGAAAATGGTAACAAAAATAAGGGCAGGGGAACACAACATGTCAGAACAAGTAGTCAGGATGAAGATGCTCCTACTGGAAAAATACAAACACCAAAATAAATGGGAGTGGCATGTGTTAGAAATCTGTGGATCCTTCCCTATCTGTGAGATTCAATTAACAAATAAATGGGGGGAGGGGACATCATAGAAGGGAGGATTGTTTTCAGAATCATGACAGGCACTAACTGGCAAGTGTGAATAGAATGCTGACTCTCAAGGAAACGATTAGCTCAAGTAAAAGTTCTCAAAGGATACTAAACATAAAAGTGAAATTTTAATGAGTTATGAGTTCCCGTGTTAAAATGTGCCTATGGATTGGTATTAATAGGCACACTTTAACACTGTATAACTGGTTATTAAGGGATATGAATATGATGGCGACACTAAGTAGGGTAACACAGTGAAGGCCTGGAAGGCTGAGGCCAGAGCGTATACTACTCTGGCCAGGAATGTGTAACCCGGATATGATTGCAAGGAAACACTAGGTCAGAGCCAGACAGGAAATACCCAATCAGGAAACAAGGTCTACTGCCTTGTCTTCAGTTTAGAGACAAAGCTGTAAGCAGAAAAAGATGGAAAAGCTAATATGACTAAACGCAATGTATGATACAAAACTGGATCATGGACTGGGGTCCGCTCATGAAACTGGAATAGAGATGATAGATTTAATATTCTAACTAGATTAAAGACACTGAAATTGCTAACTGTACTGTGGCAATGAAAGAGAATATTCTTTCCTTAGGAAATACAAAATGAAATACTTATGGAATAAGCTTCATTTTGCAAATCTACAGGACAATAATTCATTCCATGAAATAGAAATCTCCATAGACTAAGCAGAATGAGATGTGTAGATTAATATATAAATGCAGAATGCTTTATATGTATACTGATAGGCAACTTTTTTTACATATTTCCAGCAGAGAGAGACACAGAGAGAGAGAGAGAGAGAGAGAGAGAGAGAGAGGGAAAGGAAGAGAGAGAGAGAGAGGGAGAGGGAGAGAGAGGGAGAGAACAGCAGAACCAAAACAGGATAATCGTTCGAAGTTACTATCCTCATGGCGCAGAACGGCGGATAGGCTGGCGTCCTGGCGCTTAATAGTGGCACTGCCAAGGACGTGGAGCGAACGTGCCGGTGAACGACATCCACGAGGGCCGGCCGGCTGCAGGTCCCCTCGAGGAAGCCCGCTCGAGGCTCTCCACGCCGCGTGCATACACACTCTCTCACACACACGTACGTACAAGACTGTCCACGGCAGCGGGACGGGAAAACGTGGAGGCCAACCACGGAATGGGCTAAGGCACGATCACGTGCGTTACGGATTAATGCACTGAAAAAAACGAGGAGAAAACGGAGCCCGGCGCCGCCCAGCGCCTGCGCACTTGCACCCCTGGCGCCCAAGGCCGGCACTTCCGGCACAGCCGGGAAGCCACCGGGGCGGGGGCTCGGGCGGCCCAGCCCGCTGCCCGGCGGCGACCCGTGGCACGATCGCCCTGACAACAGCAGCAGCCACCGAGCTCAGAGGGGCAGGCTCCTCCCGTGTCCCCCGCCCGGCCCCGGCGCGGCCTGCGGGCTGTCCCCCCCGAACCGTCTCGCGCTGGAGGACGCCCCGGACGTCCAGCGGGCTGCGCGGGCCGCTCGGTGGCACACGTGGCGGGGCGCGGAGCGGGCAGCGGTCCTAGGGCTTGAACTCGGGGCCCGCACTGTGCCTTGGCCTTTCTGGCGGCTAGCTGGAGATCAGGGCCTCTCCCGTCCGGGCTGGCTTCGCGTGGCGGCCCCCACATCTGTCGGTGGCCCGGATTACACGCACCAGCTCCCGGGAGAAACACCGCCTTTTGGTAGCATTAGATTGGCAATAGCTTGAAGACCAACGGGGTCAACTCGGTCATTACCTTTTGATACTGACAAATGGATTATTTTAAATATGGCTTATGTTTCTGGAGAACTTACAATGAACCTATTTTTTTTTTATGAGAATAAAATGGAAAGAACATAGAAACATCAATCTTAGGGGTCACCTTTGACTGGCATGTACTCGAACCCGTCTAATACGGTGGCTTGTGTAATCAATTTTAACTTATGAATCACTTGCAAACGTTTAGTACACTGAAATTAGGTAAAATGAATCTGCTCAATGAACTGCACATTTTGCTGGGGAAAATTTGATTATGAAACAAAAATGTTTGTTTTTTTGTCTTTGTTTCCCTGGATATATTAAGGCGTGCATGGTGAAGCAAATGCAAAGTAAATACTAGCTCCTTGCATTTGTGGTTTTAATTTCCCTTGGAAATTAAATTGCTTATAGACCCTGTAATTAGTTCAAATGTCGCTGAGAAAGCTGACAGTCACTAGTTAGTGCAAATCGTTCATTATACTTAATGGGAAAACTAGACTAAGCCACAGTAGAAGACTTCAACTGTAGGGTCTACAGAACAAGGCAAGAGCAGCAGCTGGCTTTGTGCTTTCAGACGTCTTTTTCATGAAATAACTTGCTCCTTCATTTGATTTTGAAGTCACAGGGCTTCTGGAAATTCCTTTTAAAACTGTTTTTTCACCAGGCGCCAGTGGCTCACGACTTTATTCCTAGCTATTTAGGAGGCTGAGATCTGATACAATTCAAAGTCAGCCCGGGCAGGAAAGTCAGTCTTACCTCCAATTAACCACCAGAAAACCGGAAGTGCCACTGTGGCTCAAGTAGTAGAGTGCTCGAGATGAAGAGCTCAGGAACAGTGCCCAGGCTCAGAGTTCAAGCCCCACGACCGACATACACACACAAAAAAGTTTTTTCCTATGTCATTTTAATTGGGAATCTAGACAGGCATTTACATTCTCAAGTGTTTATTTCTGCATACAGGACTGTAAACAATCCTGAAAACAGATTTTAATATCCAAGATCTATTCTTGAGGTTTTTAGCCTCCTGGTCTGTTTAATAATATATGTGTTAATACATAGGTAGATAATTCTTGAAGTCTTTTTTGATGGGATACACCTACTCTGACTTTATTTTGGTAACTTTAATCTGTAACAACCATTTGGGGGTAATCAAAAAGCAAAGTGTACCCTTCCTCTGCCCCCCCAAAAATGTGTTTCTCATTATAAAACTGTATATAAACCAGGCATCAGTGGCTCACACCTGTAAAGATAGCTATTCAGGAGGCTGAAATCTTAGGATTGCAATTTGAAGACAACCCATGTAATCGTCTGTGAGACTCTGATCTCCAATTAACTGCCAAAAAACTACAAGTAGAGCTATATGGCTCAAGTGGTAGAGTGCTAGCCTTGGGCAAAAAAGCTCATGGACAGTGCCCATGTGTATATACATACACATACACATACATACATACACACACACAAACACACACACAATGTGTGTATTCTTTGCAAAAATAAAATAACAATGGAAAATGCATATTCAAACCAGGAATAAACACTTCTCAAAATGTTGCCATCTAGACATAATCATTTTGGGTCATACTGTGTACAGTTTTGAAAGCTATTTTTTAAATGTAAGGTCTACACCCTAAATGTTCAAAACCTGCCAACTTTATCCAACAGCAGTGTGTGTTTTTTCGGATGAGTGACTATTGCTCATTGTCTCAAAAGCCATGTCCCATCTAACTTGTTTTAAAATTCAAATTTCTAATGTTTTCACCTGAAAGAAATAAATTTTTCACAGAAATGGAGGGACAAATGCAGCAGTGGTACTCTAGACATTATGATGAAAATGACATACAACTTGTGAATGGGGATGAGAGGGAAAAACTAGGAGAGAAAGAGGGAAGGAATGACATTGTCAAAAAAAGAAACATATCCTTTACCTAACTTAAGTAACTGTAACCCCTCTGTACATCACCTTTATAATAACAATTTTTAAAAAATTTTAAGAAACAAAACAAAAACATTTTGAAAGACATATGTAACCTAATTTAAACATTGTACAATACATACATATTGTACAATATACACACTGTACAATATATACATATATCATATACAATATCTACATATATCAAATACATATCATATACTTCCTGAGTGTAATTTTTATGTTTTTAGGTATCAGGTGAAAATGACTAATAGAAAAGAAAAAATAAAAAAGTATAATAATGATATACAAAGCATGGATGCATCTTACTTGTACATAAAGACCAAATAGGCAAAAGGAACACAGGCTTGAGAAGTCAAGATGGAGGCCAAGCAAGGAGGCACGACTGGTTGGGAGGACAAGAACCCTGAAATGCTGAGGTTATAAGGGCATTTTCTCTTTGTGATCATTCACCAGACAATAAACTTTTCTGTGTTTCTTTAATTTTGTTAAAAATGAGGCAATGTTAATAGAAGGACAGCCATTAAACAATACACACAGAATGGGAACATTGTTGGGAAACAATAACAACCAAGGATCAATGTTTTTAAGTAAAAATGTAATAGTAATGTTTACTAAATGCTAGAAAGTACTGTGCTATATACACTCTAATATGTACTTTATCATTTATCTCAAAAACATTATAAGTAGCTAGAAAACCCTTATGAATAAGAAAACTGAAGTACTCCTCTATATAACTGACACAGCTAATAAAATCTTAAAATTAAAAAAAGAAAACTGAAGTTGAAGACATCAAATGACTTGCCCATCATCACCTAGCATAAAGCTAAAACCCTGAGACCATAGCTCAGGCTCTCTAGATCCACTATACTTGTCTCTGGAAAGATACATAAAAGGTGGCAACAGTGCTGAGTCTGAGAAGGAAATTGGGGACTGAAATACCAGTTGACAGGAAAGCTGGCTTACAATAGTATTCTCTAGATGGCTTTTGAAGGAATATATTTGCATATCTCTTCCTTTACTGAAATGGTATCTAGAAATTGAAGTTATGTTTGACGGTCTCTAGGCTTCACAGAATTGCTTTATCCAGAGGATAAGCATGGCTCACTGTTTTCTTACTTTACCTGATTTAGGATGCAAAGCATCACACTGGGCATTGTACATGTGTACAAATTCTTGGTGCCTTTTAATAAGCTGCTGTTTATTTCCTTGAACAGATAATCCATGCTGCTTTAGCTTTTTCTTTAAATCACGATCAGAGAGTAAGTTATACACAGTTTTGGGCAGCGGCTTCCTTTTGTGAAGAGAACTGAAAAATGGGAAAAAAAGATTTGAGGATTATTGTGAATTATCAAATGTTCTCATGTAAAATAGTAATTTACCTTTGAACACCTGCCTGGCAGAAAGAACTATTCAGATAAACAGGGAAAGAGAAGGGAGTTTGTGGGTAAAGATGACAGTAACATGAGGTGCCTGAGGTGCCTGCAGGATCTTTGGATAAACAGTAGTACAGGTAGCACCAGAAGTTAGAGATTTTAGTCTCAAACCCCCCCCCCCTGCTTCCTCAGATGACTCAAGTACAAATGCTACTGAGGGTTAGGCTATAGACTGAAGAATCACATAGAGCTTCTCTAGAAAAAAAGTTCTGAAGCTGGGTGCCAGTGGCTCACATTTACAATTTTAAGATACCTCAGGAGGCTAAGATCTAAACCAGCCCAAGCAGAAAAAGTCCAAGAGATTCCATCTCCAAAATAGCCAGCAAAAAAAAAAAAAAAAAAAAAAGGCGGGAGGTATGACTCAGGTAGTAGTCGTCTATCAGCTGTGAGTGAAAAAGTCAAGTGAGTGCAAAGCCTGGGAGTTCAAGTGCAGCAGAGGGGAGGGAGGAACAAAATTCTGGTCCACCCAAAAAACTAGCCCCTCAAATCCTAGGCAACCATTCTGAAAAGCACTAGCAGAGTACTAGAAGACCTGCTAGGATGGTTAGCTTTACCCAACTGATGCTCACCATAAAAAAGAACACACAAAGTTGACCAGTAGGTAGGTAATGCATATTTTTGTAGTATTATCTTCAGGGAACACAGATGAAAATATGAGTTTTGTTATCTTCAGATATAATTATTCACATTTATCAATACATAAGACCTTACAAAAATGTATTAGTAAAATCACCAACTGGCTTTTCTTTTTTCATTCTGTTTTTACAGTAAGCACACTGATAATTTTAAGCATAACACTACATACTAACAAAGCGATATTACCTTCTACTATCCCACATCTAAAGTTAATAAACAGTATTTCTTAAAATTCGCTGGGATGCCAGGAGCCATGGGCTCCTGCCTGTAATCATAGTTACTCAGGAGGCTGAGGATCTGAGGATCTGAGGATCGAGGTTCAAAGCCAGCCCAGGCAGAAGTCTGTAACCACCAGAAAACTGGAAGTGGCACTGTGGCTCAAGTGGTAGAGCACTCGCCTTGAGCTGAAGAGCTCAGGAACAGTGTCCAGGCCCAGAGTTCAAGCCTCATGACCGACCAAAAAGGTTAAAAATACACTGGGATTCAAGGTACCCAAATGCATCTATGACTACAACTTCATAAATAGGAATCATTTAGTGAGTTTTAGTCCACTTCATCTGAATATATCATCACTCCCATAGTGTATTGCCATGCCCAGCTGTGAGGGCAACTAGGTGCTTAGTAAATGTTTTCAAGATGGACATTATCATTGCAATCATTTAAAAATGTGAAAAGCAAAGGCGAAGGTGAAAGCTAATATTACTTTACAATGAAATAGATTTTTAAAAAAACAAAAAACAAACAACAAACTGGGCACCAGTAGCTCATGCCTGTAATCCTACCTACTCCAGAGGCTGAGATCTGAGGGTCGCAGTTCAAAGCCAGCCCGGGCAGGAAAGTCCGTGAGACTCTTATCTCCAATAAACCACTAGAAAACTGGAAGTGATGCTGTGGCTCAAGCGGTAGAGCGCTCGCCTTGAGCTGAAGAGTGCAAGGACAGCACCCAAGCCCAGAGTTCAAGCCCCACGACCGACAAAAAAAAAAACAGCTTTACAAAGGATCTACATAGTATGATATGCCTCCCATTATGATTCAAGACTAAAAAAAAAAGAGACCTAAAATCTGTTTTTAACAGAGATCCCCAGGATAAATAGGATGCAATGATCCAAAAGTCAGACTTAGAGAAATACTATCATCGAGTAAAGACAAAACAACCAAATATGTCTCTGTTAGCACCAGTAGTGTTTCATGGATAAATTATTTCATGTTTTATTAGTAAAGTCTAAAAGCCAGAAAAGGACTCCACTGTAAAAGGACCTGTAAACATCAAGAGTCTATTTTTCTGAAACTCATTCCTTCTTATAATGACAGCCAATCAGACACTGCAAGATTGACAAAATTATGACAAAATAAAATCACAGCAGGGAGCAACACCTGAATCATTTTACAGGCATTTACAATAACCACAAAGGGAAAAGCAATTCATTAAGTCTCTATCTAAAACATTTACTTTATCAAGGATAGATGATTAAATTTGTAACTGTGAAAAAATCTAGTAAAAACTGCAATATTCACTGAATTTACAATGAAATGCACTACCAGAGATCAACAATTTCTATCAGAAATTTGAAAATGTGGGGCTGGGAAGGTGGCTCAGTGGTAGAGTGCATGCCTTGCATGCCAGAGGCCCTGGGTTCGATTCCTCAGCACCACATAAGCAAAAAGAAAAAAGCCGGAAGTGGCGCTGTGGCTCAAGTGGCAGAGCGCTAGCCTTGAGCTGAAGAGCTGAGGGACAGCGCCCAAGCCCAGAGTTCAGGCCCCATGACCGGACCCAAAAAAAAAAAAAAGAAATTTGAAAATGTAATGCCAGATAACTACATTCCCTGACATGAAAATAACATTGATCTTTTGGTGCATGATTCGGTGAAACTGTGTAGTATATAAAGTGGGCTCAGAACCAAGGATATCGTTTTGAATCCACTGTGAGGTGATCCTACACACAATGGTTGTAGGTTGCCATCCACATCTAGGGAATGACCTATCAGTAAGGGGGATGTGGAGGAGAATGAAAAATAGATAGAGACTCTGTATGACCAGACCCCAAGCCAAGTATATTAAGCAGACATGTGGGTCAGGGTTCTCCCAAGTATGTTTGACCAAGCTAGTAAGAAGGGAGTTATGAGGACAAAAAGATTTAGAATCAAATAAACTTAGGAATTATTGGATTAAAGGAGATTCAGCAATGATCTTCTGTGGAGGACTTCTCAATACCTTCAGGACACTAAGGGTGATAGAGTACACACTGTCAAGCACACTGTGACCGACTGGCAGGACCCAAGTACTCAGAACTGTATTTGGAACCAGGACTGGAACATGAACTTAATCACACACGGCCATCTATGACTCTGGATACACTGAGAGCTAAATACACTGGAAGGAATGTGAAAAACACAAAAAGAAAGAAGTCCAAGCAAGGTTATCAGTGCTGACACCTTACTCTCCAGAGCAAACCCTCAGCTTGACTTCTACCTCATCCTCTGGGGAGAAGCACTTACAAGGGGAAAAGCAAGTAAGTCATCCTGTTCTGTCTTTCAAGAAATAATCCTTGGAACTATCCAAATTCCCTGAGTAATCTACACATCTAAATTTTGTTTTGATCAATGCTATGCACACAAGATTGTTTTAAGTCTGGAGTCAAGGATGACCTCTTTTGCAAATTAACAAAGTATCAATGTACTTTATATGCCAGCCTATATAAATTAAAATATTAGTCTGTCACCTGAAATCTGCATCCACTCCAAATTTACTCATAAACATGAAGTGACATTTTTTAATCTTTAATCATCGAAAGACACTTATAGGAAGTATAGATATGGCTCAAGAAATAGAGTGCCAGCCTTGACTGAAATAAAAAACACTACTAGGGAGGGGGGAGAATGATGAAAGGGATGGCATTGATCAGATACATTATATTTATAAACTGATTTGTTGAATGGTAACTTTTTTGCATAACCACTTAAACAAAATATAATTTTTAAAAATGTTAAAAGTATTAGACTTTGAAATGTATTATTCAATATTTTTAAGTGACTGAGTATCCTAAGAACTAAAGAAAGATTTTGTAGATTTTATATTTATAGTCTGGCTTTTCTTTCTTTGACCAAAACATTTTATGGTAGTTCTAAAATGCTAAAATTAGAAACTTTAAAAAAAAACTGAATTCTAAATCTCTAATTTCATATTAAGTGAAATGCTAGTGGTGTAATTATTTAATCATGTTATTAGATGTGGCAGAGTACAAATCTGAGGGAAAAGTTAGAAGAGGGGGAGGCAGAGGTGAACAGCAGAACTGAAGGGAAAAGCATCTGAGAGAGGGAATATGACAACTAGTCACCTGGATAAGATGAAGCCTGATTTTTTTTTTCAAGTTTATAAAGCAAGAGAGGCACCTAGCTCAAGTAGCTCAATTGTTATGCCACTCTCTTACCTTCTGAGGCTTTCCTTCTTCTCTTCACGTGATAAACAGGTGTCTAAGTGCTTATTAATGTGGTTTTCTGAAATGTTAACCCCACAAACAGGACAATCCACTATATTTTTTAAAAAAGAAAAACAGAGACTTTATTATCTGTAGAAAAAATAATCATAATTAATATAAGCTGGCATCTTTGAACAGTAAGAATACATACAGATCCCAACTTCACATACACTTAGGAAAGCAGAAAAGAAAAGAACCACCCATAAGGGCAATGGGGGCAAGCATATAAGCATTTGAGACAGAACTGAATTGTGGGAAATCATATACTCAGAATCCTATACTTAGAGACTGCTTTGGTTAAATCTTTTCTACCAGGGTATGACCAAACCATAAAACCAACCTTAAATTTTTCCAAACTTTAGGAGCAATACCCCTTTAGCATACAAGTAAGCATAACTTTGGAACAAAACTATAATCATTGACAAAACTGAACAGCTAATAAAGGTGCTTATCTAGCTGTTCAGGCTATACCACTGCCAGACCAGATCAGGTATACCTTACTGAAGTTGCTGCTTCACAGAGCTACAGGGGACTGGGGAGGTATCTCAGGGCCCAGAGACCATCAAGGACAAAAAAGGCAGTTGTCAAGATGGGAAGGAGAGGGGTACAGTAGAACAATACAATCTTTAGGTCCTCTATCCCTACTTTTAACCTAACACTGCCAGTTCTGTTTTATATGTTATGGTTCATGTAACACTTTATTGGGGGAGGGGTTAAACGGGGGTTGGGAGGGGTTAATTATCAAACTAAACACACTACAAGAACTGTCAGTTGGTGAAAAAGGATGAGACTGGTAGGAAATATAAGTGAAACTTACATGCACAAGAAATACAAACAATGAAGTACCAATAAGCAAAGTGCAATCCATCTAAGTTTTAATAAACACTAGCAGCCTTGCACTGTGGGTTGGAGAGGTTTACTAAAGTCAAACGATCTTAATAAAGGACAAAGTAGAAAATAATTTAGGCTTCCCAGGTCACTGGTTACACCATAATCACCACTTGGGATCTGTGCCACTGCATCTGGAAAGAAATCTAAACCATATACAGTGGGTATGGCTATGTTCCAGTCAACCTTCACTTACTAAAATAGGTAGCGAGCCAGATCCATGTGAAGGGCTTATTAGGTGGAGTTAAGAAACAAGTTGGACAGCTAGCCAGAGGTTAATGTCAAAACCTTTAAAATACCATGCAGAAGAGCACGTGGAATTCAAGTAGTGATTTAATTATAAAAAAAAAGTGCTGTTTTAGATTACAATGGAGTGGACATGCTGGGTGAGGGAAGATGAGGCATTTACAAGTGAAAACTAGAAAGCCACACCACACCTGAACCATGAGCTAATGAAACTGCTCGGTCTTGAGAATCATCTCCAATTTCTCTCCATGGAGGAAAGAGATCAAATAATCCTCTAATCCCCGACGACTACATCAATCTTTGAAATTGCAAAATGAAGTGTATCTGTTTTTACCCCCTCAAAAATTATGTCTGGCTGGGCTGGGAATGTGGCTCAATGGTAGAGTGCCTGCCTAGCATGCATGAAGCCCTGGGTTCGATTCCTCAGTACCACATACACAGAAAAAGCCAGAAGTGGTAGAGTGCTAGCTTTGAGCAAAAGAAGCTCAAGAATAGGGCCCAGGCCCTGAGTTCAAAGCCGCAGAACTGGCAAAAAAAAAAAAAAAAAAAGATGTATGGGTTGCAGATGTGGCTAAAGTGGAAGTTCATTACCCAATACAGCACAACTTCTCAAAAACTGCTGACAGTTTATTCTTATGTCATATGACAAGATTTTCCCTAAGTGTGAAAATGCACATAGGAAAATAGTTTCCTACCTTTAGTATCTTGCTTCAAAGCAGATGTAGAGGGTGTCACTGGACCATTAACATCTGAGGAACCAGGTGCCACCTCTTCTACAAAGCCTGTCTTTTTGGTCTCAGTAGAAAGGCTTGTCTCTTTTTGAGGGCTAAATTGTCTGGCATTTTCTTTTATTGACAACTCTGATGGAGAATCTCCGATTTCTCTGGTCAAGAAATTGTCCATTAGTCTGCTTCCTTGCTTTGTAGGATGTCGGAAGACCCCAGGAGTAGATACTTTGATAGCAAGCTTCTTCGAAGAAGAAGAAGAAGAAGAAGCAGGAGATAGAGGTGGTGACTCTAAAGTAAACCGCAATAGACGATTCCTTGAAACATACACACACACAAAAAAAATCACAACAGATAATTAAGATATCAAATTACATATGAAAAATTGAATGATATGTGCTGTTTTCACAATTAAGACTTGTTTCTCTGAAATATACTTATACCCAAATCACAACCACTATACCAATATGTTTCTTGTCAAAGTAAACACAAAACAATAAATCTAACTTAAAAGATAATTACTATGTGTGTAAAAGAAAACAGGGGATGTAGTGGTAGATTGTGCCTGTAATCTTAGCTATATAGGAGAAAAGGAAGAAGAGCAAGAGTTCCAAGCCAGACCTAAAAAAGTTAGCATGACTCTATTTAAAAAAAAAAAAGCTGAGGGTATAGCTTGAATCTTGCCTACCATCCATGAAGCCTTGGGCTCAATCCCAGTATTGCAATTAAAAAAAAAATGGATGGATGAACAGATAGATAAACAAACAAATAGATAGCAATTGTAAAGAACTTTAAAATCTGAATAAAAACATAAAAATTGTTTGGAGGCACTGGATTGTAATCAACACAAAACTTTTGATTCCCTGAGAGAAAAAGACATAGGAAATGATTCAACACTCCCCCAAGATTTGTTCTGGGATTTGCATATTGAATTGACAAAGGGGAAACCTGATTTCACTGACTAGGAAAAAAACAGAGCAGAGTTCTGGGCAAAGATGGCTAGGACTGGGGTACAGAGCACTTGACATGTGTTGGCCACAAAGAAACCCCAGTAGGCTGTTTAGAAATTCTCATCTATTTGCCATCATCTGCAGACTCCTCAGGAAAAAACAACAGTGCAGAAGATGTGCTAAAAAGCAGCTGTAGGAAACTGATCAGTAGTCGAAGCTGCCAGGGCTTGAGCCCAGCCACAGTGGAGACTGAAACCAACTATAGATATTCAGGTGAGATAGCACAAAGCCATCTGAGAAGAAAGGACCACACTGTACATACACATAGAAAAAGTAAAATAGACTCAAACTATTTAAACATTATACCAGGCTTTGGCAGAAAAAGGTGAAGAGCTGGTAAGGTAATTGCCTGTCAAAACAAAATTCAGTATCATCTTCCCAGGGAATAAGTTTCTAGCTTCTACAATATTTTGTCCACAATGTTCACCACATATTTAAAAATCACTAGAAGAAAAAACAGCCACTAATCAAGACATAAAGTATTAGACATAAACAAAACAGAGTTTATCCACAGTGGCGCTAGTAGATAGGACCTTTGAAAGAACTGTAACAAGACGCTGATGAAAACCTAAGTAGAAGCCAGGCACTGGTGGCTCATCACACCTGTTATCCTAGCTACTCAGAAGCTGAGATCTGAGAATCATGCTTCAAAGCCACACTGTGCAGGAAAGTCTGTAAGACTCTTACCTCCAATTAACCCCCAGAAAACCACAAGTGGTGCTGTAGCTCAAAGTGGTAGAGTGTTAGCCATGAGCAAGAATTCAGGGATAGTGCCCAGGCCCCAAGCTCAAGCCCCATGACTGAAACAAAAGAAGAAGAAGAGAGGAGGAAGAGGAGGAGAAGAAAAAGAAAGGAGGAGGAGAAGGAGAAGGAGGACAAGGACGAGGAAGAAGAAGAAAGAAGGAGGAGGAGGAGGAGGAAGAAAGAAGAAGAGGAAGAAGAAAGAAGGAGGAGGAGGAGGAGAAGGAGAAGAAAGAAGAAGGAAGAAGAAGAAAGAAGAAGAAGGACGACGAAGAAGGAGGAGGAAGAAGAAAGAGAAGAAAGAAGGAGGAGGAGGAGGAGGAGGAGGAGGAGAAGGAAGGAAGAAGAGGAGGAAAAGAAAGAAAGAAAGAAAGAAAGAAAGAAAGAAAGAAAGAAAGAAAGAAAGAAAGAAAGAAAGAAAGAAAGAAAGAAAAGGAAGAAAAGGAAGAAAAGAAAAGGAAGAAAGAAAATAAAACCTAAATGGGTAAAAAAAGGTATCGTAAGAGCTAAAATCCTTTTTTAAAAATTAGTGAATATTCTACAAGTGAAAAATAGCATATCTACACTGGGTAACTATAACAGCAGACAGCAGAAGACAGTATTAGGAAAACTGAAGGTAAGTCAACAGAAAATCATCAACTAGACGGGCGTCAGTGGCTTACAATAGCTACTCAGGAGGCTGAGATCTTAGGATGCAGGCTCAAAGCCAGCCTGGGCAGGAAAAGCTGTGAAACTCTTTATCTCCAATAAGCCACTAGAAAACTGGAAGTGGCATGGGGCTCAAGTGGTAGAACGCTTGCCTTGAGCTGAAGAGCTAGGGACAGCGCCCAAGCCCAGTTCAAGCTCCATGAGTGACAAAAAATAATCATCATCATCATCATCAACTGAAGTACACAGAGATAAAAGATAGAGGAAGGAAAGAAAGAAGTATTACAGAGGATACTTAGAATTCCAAGAAAAAATGGAAAATAAGCAATATTAGAAAAATCAATGGCCAACCAAGAACCTTCTAAAACTAATAGGGGAGAAAAAAAAAATCAAGCCTTAGCTACTTCCACTGTATAATTCACAAAAAATTCACTGAGAAAAAAAGATAACCAGAAACTCTCCAAAGCCGAGAAATTAAACACCACAATTCTAAATAACAATCAAATCCAGGGAAAATTAAAAAAAGTCTACAGGATGGGAAGGTGGCTCAGTGGTAGAGGGTTGCCTAGCATGCATGAAGCCCTGGGTTCGATTCCTCAATACCACATAAAGAGAAAAGGCCCTAAGTGGTGCTGTGGCTCAATTGGCAGAGTGCTAGCCTTGAGCAAAAGATGCTCAGGGGCAGTACCCAGGCTCTGAGTTCAAGCCCCAGAACTGGCAAAAAAAAAAACCAAAACTCTAGTAATAGTATGATGGTTTTCTAAAATAGTACTCACAGAAAAATTTTTAATAAATTAATAGGGAAGTTGAAAATCAGTATTCTAAGCTTCTAACTTAAAAGGTCTGGAAATGAAGCTAAGCACCAATGGCTCATGCCTATAATCTTAGCTACTCAAGAGACCAAGATCTGAGGAACAGAGCTTAAAGCCAGCCTGGGCAGGAAAGTCCATGAGATTCTCATCCCCAAATAACCAGCAAAAAGCCAGAAGAAAGAGCTGTGGCTCAAGTGTTAGTCTTGAACAAAAAAGCTAAGGGACAGCACATCTAGTCCTGAGTTCAAGCCCAGTATTCACACACACACACACACACACACACACACTTAGGGAATGAATAGCAAACTCTCAAATAAGTTAAAAAGACTGAGAATATTAAATGCTGTAAAGAATATGGAGCCGATGGAACTCTCATTTTGCTAGTGGGAATATAACTAAATTCAATCATTTAGAAACCAGTTCTGAAGATACAAAACAAGTAAATGGAATCACACTTCTAAATACATGCTACGAGAAATATATGCCAAAAGATATGCATAAGAACATTCACAGGAGCTGAATTCACAATGGGAAACCCAAATAACTATTGATAAGAAAAATGACCCATATGTTTATGCCTAGAGTTGAGACAGCTAAGAAGGAGATCAAATGTTTGCCATAGTGACCTGTTGGCCTGAAGACACTACAGTAAACGCTTCAGTACTCATGCCACCGAGGGGCTACTTGCTTCGCTCAGTAGGAAATGGTATAAAAAAGAGACAACGCAGAAATTGCTTTATTCTGCTTCAGTTTTATGACAACTCATAAAAAAACACTTTTTTTTAGTCTGAAACCAGGACTCTAATGCAATACCTGATGCTTTTGCTCATTGGCTAGCATTCTAGCAACTGAGCCATGCCTCCAATCTCCAAAAATTCTATTTATATCAAGATGTCCTTCATATTATAACCTCCTGCTGCTGATGCAAGTAACAAAAGGGTGAGGGCTACAGTCAAGAAATACAAACTAGGGGCTGGGAAGGTGACTCAGTGGTAGAGTGCTTGCCTTGCATGCATGAGGCCCTGGGTTCGATTCCTCAGCACCATATAAGCAGAAAAAGCTGGAAGTGGCACTGTGGCTCAAGTATTAGAGCGCAAGCCTTGAGTGGAAGAGCTGAGAGACAGCACCCAGGCCCAGAGATACGATCCCATGACCAACCAAAAAAAAAAAAAAAGAAAGAACGAAATACAAACTAGAGTTAAGGAAGAAGGTACTTCAACGACAAAAGTCATACAGGAGAAACAATTGTGTGTTTCTTTATTTTGAAGATAATACAGGGGTCATAATAAACAATAAAAACAAGATGGAAAGTTCTGCCATCACAGGGCCTGCTGCAAAGGAGTGTGCTGACTTGTGACTTAGGGTCCCATCTAATGCATCACATGATCCTTCAGTGCATTTGTAAAAAACTAATAACCCATTAAAAATTATGTCCCCTACCAAGAAAAAAAAATAAAAATATACATGAAAGCTAAAAGAAAAAGTTAAGCATCGTCATCTCAAAGAGGAAAAAAAAATAGAGAAAATGTACATGCAGAACCATGTTACTCGTCATCTCCTTTGCTTCAACATCTGAATCTGGGACAAAGAAGTTTCTGGAAAAGTTTTCACTTCATTGTGACAAAGGAAAGCACACATTATCCACCTAACAGGTAAAACCATTACAGATGAAACACCTACCCTGATGGAGTAGTCCTTTCCAGCTAAATGTCAATACCATTGATCTTTGCTTCTATTATATAATCCAAACAAATTTTATTCTAATTGTCTCTCTTATTTCAATGGATGCCAAAAAAAGACCATACCAGAGAGCAGCAGCACCACCAGGATAAAACTAGTCCTGACGCTAAAGTAAAAATCCATTTATTTATCCAAGTACCAACTACTCTTGGCAGAGAAACGTGACAGAGAACAAAACAAAGCCTATGCTCTTAAAGCTTACACTACAGAAAGAGAGGGAAAATAGGCATAGATACAAAAATGGGAAAAGTGCTATCAAAAAAATGGAGCTAAGGGGCTAGAAGGATAGAAGTGTGCCTAGCGATGCATAAGAACCAGACTGTCCTTTCTCTCCACGCGGCCATCTTGTCAGCTGCTTTCCATTGGGAGCCCTCCCACACCTAAGGCAGGAAGATGGTGGCCACCAAGAAGACAAAAAAGTCCCTGGAGTCGATCAACTCTAGACTCCAACTTGTTATGAAAAGTGGAAAGTATGTGCGAGGGTACAAGCAAACGCTGAAGATGAACAGACAGGGCAAAGGGACATTGGGCATCGTTGCCAACAACAGCCCAGCTTGAGGATATCTGAAATAGAATACTAGGCCATGTTGGCAAAAACCGGTGTCCATCACTACAGTAGCAATAATATTGAACTGGGTACAGCATGTGGAAAATACTACAGAGTATGCACACTGGCTATCATTGATCAGGTGATTCTGATATCATTAGAAGCATGCCAGAACAAACTGGAGAAAAGTAAAGAGTAAACAATTTTTCTTTAATAAAACTTGCCAGAGCCGGGCGCTGGTGGCTCACGCCTGTAATCCTAGCTACTCAGGAGGCTGAGATCTGAGGATCGCAGTTCAGAGACCGTGAGACTCCTATCTCCAATAAACCACCAGAAAACCGGAAGTGGCGCTGTGGCTCAAGTGGTAGAGCGCTCGCCTTGAGCTGAAGAGCTGAGGGACAGCGCCCAGACCCAAAGTTCAAGCCCCACGACCGACAAAAAAAAAAAAAAAAACTTGCCAGAACCAGACTGTCACCCCCAACTCCAAAATACAATAAATACAATACTCAGCCTCCTGAGTAGCTAGGATTACAGGCGTGAGCCACCAGTGCCCGGCTGCTTTCTCCCCCTTCTTGCTGGTTCTCATTTGTTGAGACCTGAACGCTGCCTACTGCCAGCTATCTAGGCAAAAGCATAGCTGAGGGGTTTGGGGTTGTTGGTGCTGGTCCTGGGGCTCAAACTCCTGGGGCTCTGTCGTTGAGCTTTGGTGCTCAAGGCTGGCACTCTACCACTTGAGCCACAGCTCCACTTCTGGCTATTTGGTGAGTCTCATAGACTTTCCTTCTTGGCCTGGCTTTGAACGATGGACTTCAGATCTCTGCCTCCTGAGTAGCTAGGATTACAGGCATGAGCCACCAGCTCCTTTTACTTCTATTTTTAAAAATTAATTTTATTTATTATAGCTCAAGTGGTAGAGCGCTCGCCTTGAGCTGAAGAGCTGAGGGACAGCCCCACGACCGACAAAAAAAAAAAGAAGGGGGAGAAAAAGGGGACATAAAGTTCTAAGAGGAGAAAGATTATATGAGGACCAGAGGACTGGCATGGAGAAGATGCGATGGAGTACTATAATTCAGATGTTAAATATACTTCAAAAGGAGCCAGGTGAGAATAAGAATTTCCAAATGGATGTTTAGGATTAGACCAAATTGGTAATCTTCCCCTCATTTCCACTGTCCTCATATTAAAGCGGAGTGGCAATGACTAACACCCATCCCATCTAGTGGACTTTCATACCTGACCCTAAAAGACAAATCAATATACTCTTGTCACAGGCAGACGAGCAAAATCCTGAAGTGTTTTACTGACTTGATCAAAGGCATCCAGGTAGCTGGGCAGCAAATTCAGATTAGATTCCAGATACTCTGACCTGTATGTAGCCCAACAAATTTCTCTACAGGATTTCTTGCTCCAAATAAGTAACTATGACCTTAAAAAGTATAGAAAAATCTTGCCAATTTCAGGTAACACACATAACTTTACCACTTTTACTAAGAATCAAGAGGCAGAATAGGCTTTTGTGTAGTGATGGGCAGTCAGTCATTAGATCCATGCAATCAGGCAGTGCAGCTCTGCAGTGCTGCTTCAGATTAGAAGCATGCAAGCATACAAACAAGAGAGTTGTTTAAACAGGCACAGTTGATTAAACAGGCACAGGCCCAATGAACACCAACTCTTACATAACAATGTTTAAGATGACAACACAATACTAAATACACCCAAGATATACAGTTATAACAGCAATAGAAATCTACTGTAAGATTCCTTTATTCTACTTCGGTGGGGGGGGAGTATTTGAGGAGGTGGGAAAAACAAAGGTAGAGGCAACAATGCTGGATAGGAAATGTACTTATTACCTTACTCATGTAACTGTATCCCCTCTGTACAGTATTTTTACAATAAAAAAACATATTAAAAAGATTCCTTTGTTCTAGGTACAACCCTGAACATCTATAAATAATTTCTAATTCTTAAAACAATCCTACCAAGTTACTCTTTACCTTTATCAGATAAGGAAACAGAAGAAGACTAAATAATCCTGACCACAACTATATCATAATTTAAAAACCAAGACTGGAGTCCAGTTCTGCCTCAATCCAAAGCCAATAAACTATACCTGCACCACAAATAAAGATGAAATTATGTTCATTATGTTCCACATCCTCTGTGAACTGCTAATAGAACTGTTATCTCAAAAGTTTAAAACATGAAATATTTAGAGAAAACTCCCATGCTGATGGTACATAAACCACAGAAATTTATAAAACCAATGATACGGATGGAGACTGGCTGCTATGCCAAAACAAAGAAATAATTCTTTCTCACTCAGAGCAAGATGATGTTCAACTTACACAAAAATATTCTAATTAAGTCTTCTGCTCAATATAATCGGTTCTTAGGATCTTTTTTCTTTTTTGAACTCAGAATCCTTCTGCCTCAACCTCCTGAGTGCTGAGATTATAGGCATGTACCACCACATCTAGCTAAGAACATTATTTTAAATCAAAACTGAGGGCGGAGCATTTGAGTTTTTTTGTTGTTATTTTTAAATAAAAAGCAACAAGCACAAGAAAACATACGAGCTGCACAGCAGCTTTATATCTGAATATCTATGAAAGTATTTCCAGTATCTTCTTATACTCAATTTAGGATACTGAATTTTTTAAAACCAGATTGGCAAATAAAATGGCAATAGGAGCCAGGCATGGTGGCATATGCCTATAATCCAAACTACTAGGAAGAAAATCTGGAGGTTTGGTATTCAGAGCCAGTCCATGCAAAAAGTAGGACAAGATCCTATCTTAACCAACAAGTCAGACATTGAGTTTCACAACTAAAATCCTAGCTATGTAAGAGACATGGATAGGAAGGTTAATGGTTCCAGCTGGCCCCAAATAAACATCAGGAAACCCTATCCAAAAATATAGCTAAAGCAGTGGGAGTATGGCTCAACTGATAGAGCACATGCCTACAAGCCTGAGGCCCTGAGTTCAAAACCCCAGTACTCCAAGAATAAATAAGCAATGACAAATGGTAAAAACAAGAAACAAAGTCAATAAATAATACAAATATCTTTCAATCTGGTAAACTTAAACTTACTCATCAATCCCAAAGCCAACTTCCAACAAGTAGTAACACTGATTCGCTTGAATTTCATCCCTACTGATTTTGCAGATGAAGTACTTCAACATTATCTACCCACAACAAATATCCAAGAGACAGGCAGGATGCTAATTCCAAGAAGGCCAAGAAAGAGAAGAAAACAATAAAATCCCCAGGGTCTGTGACTCTAAACACACTGGCACTTCTCCTCAACAAAGAGCAGCTGCTATCTGCAAAGCTTCTTTCCGCCCAGCAGGGAGTTTGCCACACTTCAGTAGCGACCAGCTAAGAAAAAATAAGTCTCGACAAAGAAAATGAAACAGCCCCTAAACTCCTCCTAGAACCATGACCCTTCTCTCACAGACTTTACAAACTAACTGGTAAAGCACTAACAATGAGAAAAATAGGCATTTTAATTAGGGGAATCAGAGAATGTCAATTTCTGAATCTGGGAAAGCATGCCATCTTTGTATGCCACTGCTTCAGGAAACTGGCTAACCAGCCAGCCAGGGTGTGGAATGTCATGTTAGCTGTGTTAAAGTACTAATCTTGATCACTTTCAGGATGTAAACCTATGAGTACATATGAAATAAATGCAAGAAGAAATCTGTTCACATTTTTAGAAGTAATATAGATTACCTCCAAGAATGTTCCAATAAGCCAAAACTTCATAGACTTAAGTATATGAACACCTAGTCTGATTACATGATTAAAACTGAGAATAAGCCCAAGATCTTATTCGGTAAAATATACCCTCTGTGTGACTAAACGCACTTTTATACATTCTTGCATTTGACAGTTGGGGAGTATCTTGAGTTTTATAAAATACAAGCAATTGCATGTTTAATAGAACATATCCTTTATACATGCTGAGTAAGTCACATTCATAATTAAAGGTTCACATATAACCACTACAAGTACAGATACATGCCTCATGTAGCTCTGACAAGTGCAAGCACCCAGAAGTAGGAACACCCCAGGGGCAACAAGCACACTCAGCGCCAGGCCATTTCTACTAAAGGAACAGGGCTCCCTGGGGAAGAGGCTGGTTCTAGGGCTTGGGCAGGAAAACTACAAGGAAACCAGTAACTATGTAAGCAATACCATTTTTAACTTTAAATTATTCTTCCTAAGAGGGCAATTCCTGCAAAGGAAGAAAGTCCTCTTACTACACAGTAGAACTCCCATGTGTGAATAACATGTCACTTCCTTCTTCTACTCCAAAATATTCAACCACACATTCCCAGAGCAAAAGTGCATGGACAGGGACACACACAGAGCAAAGTAGTTAAGGGTTAGTCACAAAATTAAATCATACCGGGCAAAACTCATGCTTTTTACCAGTTCGTCTAAAATGCGGTTGTTTTTCAGGTCTGGCTCCGTGACCACCTAGGAAAGAAAAACAACAGATGGAAGAAGGTCAAAAACAATAATTAATTTGTGTAATCTCATTTTCAAAAATGTCTGACCATCCTCCTGAGAATCTCCCCACTAACAGTCTTCCAGGAAAAGTCAGCAGAAGTTAATTTATGTGATACTAACAGTAAATCAGTACCTGCTAAGGGAAGTCTGATAAATGCTCTGGAAGGCATCTGTTGAAATCATGTACTATTGACTCTGTCCTAAGACAAAACCTAATATGAGCAAGAATCTTTCTCTAAAATGCCAGCACTCAGCCTTCCCTAACATTACTTCTGGAAAAAGGAGAAGTGCTCCTCTCAGCAACATAAGTTTCAGACTTAAAATAAGACTGCTTTTTAAGACTACTTCTGTAGTGAGTACAGTACAGCGTCTACTTCAGTGAAGAGACTGTCATGTGGACGCAGTGGGACACCCTGGGGAAGATCTTGGACTTAGGGGAGACAGTGTGCCATGTTTCTCACATAGGGAAACGGTTCAGGCAGGCCCAATGATATTCTGACATCATGTGCCCACCAGGGAGAAAAACTAGCCAAATCTGCAAGAGTTCCTATGTCCTTTCCGTTGGCCTCACCATTCCTTCTTTCTCTATTCTCATGTTCTTCCCCTTCAATCTGTGGTTCCACTTGTTCTCCAACATAAGAAGTGTCAGAGACTAAAGCCATGGTTTGCTAGCATTTGCTGTTGTAAGTCTGGTTTGAAAAGAGGTAGGAGGTAGCCAGGCTAGTATTGGATTAAGCCCAATACCATGGATCTTTGCTCTTTGCAAAAGAACAATCCTAATATCAGTTAAAAGAGAAATTATAAAAAAAAAATTAAAGCTGGGCACCAGTGGTTCATGCCTGTAATCTTAGCCACTTAAGAGAATGAGATCTGAGGATGCCAGTTCAAAACCAGCCCAAGCAGGAAAGTCCACTGGAATCTCATCTCCAATTCACCACAAAAGGCTGCACGTGGAGCTGTGGCTCAAGTGGTAGAGTACCAGCCTTGAATACCAAAGCTCAGAGAGCATCTAGGCCCTGAGTTCAAGCCCTTAGGCAGGCAGGAAAGGAAAAAAAAAAAGGAACCATAAGGACAAAGACCAAAGCCAGGTAGCAGTGGCTCACACCTGTAATCCTAGCTACTCAGGAGACTGAGATCTAAGAATCAGGGTTCAAAGCCAGCCTGGCAGGAAAGTCCTTGAGACTTTTATCTCCAATAAACCACCAGAAAACTGGAAGTGGTACTGTGGCTCAAGGGGTAGAGTGCTAGCCTTGAGATGAAGAGCTGAGGGACAGCACCCAGGACCAGAGTTCAAGCGCCATGGCTGACAAAAAAAAAAAAAAGACAAAGACCATAGGAATTAGTATTCTCATCATAAAATTAATTTTTAATTCATAATTTAGATTAGAAATTCTAGTGAGAAATTGAACAAAGCTCAGTTCTCCTAACATGTACTTTAGAGATCCCTGTGAAAATGTTCTATATATGGCTTAATCCAGTAACTACACATCTGCTCATAGTTTTGTCTGTATGTGAAGCAGAAATATTTACTCCAATCTCTAAATTAAAAAAAAAAGAAAAAACTCACCACACAACAAGTTGGACACTGAGTTTTGTAGGACAAAAATTTTCTTATACAGAGAGAACAATCTGCAAAAAAAAACACATAAAATGCAAAATAAGTTCAACTATATTAATATAGAAAGCTGACTTTTAACAAAATCTGGCTTAAACCTTTGACAATTTCCATCATCTAAGGTATGTTACATATAATCTTAGATGTATGCACATCTAATGCTTATGCTCTATGCACATTTAAACAGGCAATTAAAAGGCATTTCTAGGAAAGGAAAATGTACCAAATATAACGAGTCCCTAGACAGTCTAACCATGTAAGCAACACCATCCACTTGTAAACCACAAGAAACATACACAGACCTCAGTGAATAAACATACAAGGTATTATGGTCAAACTGTTTGCAACTAAGAAACCTGAACGAGGAATTCTGTTGAAATTTTCTGAAGGTGTAAAGGGGAGAGGAGGAAAGTGACACAGGGAGTGAAACGTGTGTCCAACTGTAACAATGAAACCCAGTCTGTATAAATAATGTAAGATAATAAAAAATAAATAAATAATAAAAAGATATCCTAGGTATCTCTAGTGTCTACCCAAAAATAAACTTCTAAATTATCTAGGTTATCAAATTAGGGACTTGCACAGCCTGACTCTGGGTAAACCAGCACCATGTGGTTTCTAACTAGAGTGCTGGGGCAACCATGGAGAAAAGAGTGGCCTGTCTTTACTTCACACAGTTCACAGGAGTGAGACAATTACACTACCAGTCGGGGTAATGAGTCCTAACAATTTAAGGAGGAATAAACAATAAGCTAAATTCACTACACTCAAGATGGTATAAAACATAGAAAAGGCAGATGTGGCTAAAGGAATGGCACTGTAGACCAAATTCAGCTGACTGGAGGAGCTTCTAGTTGGCCCTTTTGTTGAGGCAAGGGAAACAGTACAATTTCACTGGTGCAGAAATCCAGAAAAGGCAAGCCCCGCAGGCCCAGTAAGACCCTGAGGAAAAGGAAGGGACTGGTTATAACAAGGGTAAAGCTCTGATGAGGAGGAAACATTCAGTCACCAGAAAGAGCTTGAAGCTGCCAGTCTACCCTAACAACAAGGAAAATGTGCACAAATGGAAAAAAATGGATATATGAATCTTCTTAGATCCATGAGAAAAGCAACATCACAGAGAAATGGCTACCCAAAACCTAAGAGGCAGACAGGCAGATACAGAGAATTACCATTTACTCCTACATAAGCCTTGGTTAACTTTGTGAAGTAAACTATATAAAAGAGGAGAAAAGGATGGCTGTTGGCTAGCTCCATGATAATGGTGATTTAACAGGTTTTATGAACCAGTGATCTAGAAAGCATGGATTTTGGGCATCTGCCATTATCTAGTTAGAACAAACAGACCAGTGCAAAAACCTGACACCTGAGCACAGCAACCGACTCACTACCAGACTGCTTCTCGTGTACTGTTGTACCGGACTAGAACAAGCCAAGCCCTCTCCCCACAAAAACACTCTTCAAAAACATGGGTTTGGTGACCTGAACTCACTTGTGTATCACTCAAACCACAAGAACTGAAGATCTACAATAGATGTTCATTATTCTTTTCCAAAAGTTCAACAGAGCAAAACAGAAGTACAATTCAAAATGTCGACTCCTGAAATGTTAAGGGAATAGCAACAAATAGCTAGGACTCTGAGCCATCAATTCTACTTGATCCAGAGTAAAAGAAAGAAACAGATCCCAAGAGACTTGGCTCCATCTAAAACTCTGAGGTACTCTGTGTCATAAAAATAATACTACCAGCCAGGCACCGGTGGCTCACGCCTGTAATCCTAGCTATTCAGGAGTCTGAGATTTGAGGATCACAGCTTAAAGCCAGCCTGGGCAGTCTGTGAGACTCTGTGAGAGGTATGGATCAAATGGTAGAGCTCCAGCCTTAAGCAAAAACAAACAAAAGTACAAGAATCAAAGGCCCTGGACTCAAGCCTCAGAGCTCACACTCTCACTCAAACACAGCCACTAAAATCTAACTATATGCTGTTTACTGGAGAATCACTGGAAGGAGGAGAACGGAACAAGCCATTTGATACACAGGCAATCAAAACAGAACAGGAGTCACAACACTTACACAAAAGAGTTAAAGCAAAGAAAAAGGAATGACATTTTACAACAATACAAGAACAAATTCTACATGAAGATATGATAATTATATAAGCACTCAACATCAGAACAGCAGGACATGTAAAGCAATGACAGAACTAAAGGGCGCACAATAAAACTAGATAGCACCACCATTAGTACGATTTTAACACCCAACTTTCAATAACAGAAAAAGCAAGGAGCCAAAAGATCAGTGAGGAAATAGAGACTTGCACAACACTGTACAGCAGCGACTCTACCAGGCACACAGTGAGCATGCCACCCAACAGCAGCAGGACTCAGTATTAGTGCCAAGAATATTTAGACTGTGTGTCTAAATATTCCAAGTAAAAATGTCATGCCAGATCAAAGGGCAAGATCTAAATATATACTGTCCACCCCCCAAAAAATCAATTTAAAGTAAACATGAATAAATCACTGGAAGGAGAGGAATGGAGCAAGTCATTTCATGCACATGCAATCAAAACAGGAGTCACAACATAATCCTAGCTACTCAGGAGGACCACGGTTCAAGGATGGCCCACACATACACACAAGACCCCTTCTCAACCAACAGATGGGTAGTGGTGGCTCATGCCTGCCATCCCAGTTACACAGAAGGCTGAAATTTGCAGAGATAGTATTCCAGGGCCCAGGCAAAAAAGTTCACAAGACTCCATCTCAAGAAAGAAGCTGGCATGACACATACCTCTCATCTCAGCTAGGATGAGAAGCTTAAAACAAAAAGATCACGGTCCAAGCGCACACATGAGCAAAATCCCAAACCCTTTTCTCAAAATTCACCATCTCAAACAATGGCTGGAGGTACAGCTCATCAGTAGAGTTAAGTGGCTGGCAAGTATAAGGCTCTGAGTGCAAGCTCCAATAACACATTAAAAAAAGGATGAGAAAAATATAAGCCAAAGAACCACTAATCTAACAAACTTGGGGCTGAGGATATAACTCAGTGGTAGAGTGCTTTTCCTGGAATCGACCCCTAGTACCACCAAAAAAATAATAGAGAAACTGGAGATTCGGTGTGGTGGTTCATGTCTAGCTACCATGGAGACAGAGATCCAGAAGATCTAGGTTCAAAATCAGACTGGGCAAAAGACTGAGCAAAACACAATCTCAACACATAATCCATCCATGCACGGTGGTCCCCACCTGAAATCCCAGCTATGCAGGAGGCATAGGTGGAAGGATGTAAGATCAAGACCAGCCCAGATGAAAAAAATCCAGGGAGAAAAAAATAACTAAAGCAATAAATAACTAGGGCCACAGCTCAAGTGGCAGAACTCTAGCAAACACAGGGCCCTGAGTTCAAAACTTCAGTACTACTAAAAGGTACAAAATGCTATATACGAAGCATTTAATACATAAATACCTCTTATATAGAGGACAGGCTTAGTGTAATAAATGATTCTTTCCAGTATCACACAGCAGTTAAGTGATAAAACTGTCTTCAGTAGTAGCATAATTCTGTCACTGGGGAAATTCAGATGCTCTTTGACTAACAATAGTTGGGCTTACTATTTTTCAACTTGGCTATGCTGCAAAAACAATATGCATAGCCGGGTGCCAGTGGTTCACACTGTAATCCTTGATACTTAGTAGGCTGAGATCTGAGGATGGAGGTTCAAAGCCAGCCCAGGCAGGAAAGGTTATAAGGCGCTTAGCCCCAGCTAACAACCAAAAAACCAGAAGTGGAGCAGTGGCTCAAGTGGTAAAATGCTAGCCTTGAGCAAAAACCGTTAGGGATAGTGTCCAGGCCCTGAGTTCAAGCAAAGAAGGAAGAAAGGAAGAGAAAGAAGGAAGGAAAGAAAGAGAAGGGGAGGGAGACAGGAAGGGAGGAGGGGACGGGAGGAGGGAGGGAAGAAGAGGAGTAGGGAAGAAGAGAAGGGGATATATACACACACACACATATTTGATGCTGTTAGTACTACTTCACACTTTTACTCTCAGAAACAAAATATACTTACAGTTGTGTGAACACTGAGGAATTATCATGGCAATGTTGAAATATTCAAAGCAAATGCCACATCGAAGCAAATCATCTATTGTCTGGAAAAAAAAAACAGAAAAACATGTGCACATATGAGAAGACATCAAGATTGGAATGTCTGCCTAGAACTGTCTCCCTATTCCCCTAACAGCCAAATTCAGTAATACTTCATCAAATATACTTCAAAGCTAACTCCAAACAACTACAGCAATCTTGGAAAAACTTCCCACATAATTTTTTTTTCTTTAGCACTAGGGATTGGACTCAGGGCCTCACATTTGCTAGGCAAGTGTTCTACCACTTCGGCCACACCCTCCAGGGTTTGCTTTTAGTTTTTAGTTTGTTTTTCAGATAGAGCCTCATTTTTTCCCAGACTGACCACAAAGATATCCATCCTACCTCCACCTCCCAAGAAGCTGTGACCAAAGACACAGGCCATCACACCAGGCTTTTATTTATTTATTCATTCATTTTTGTTATCGTGGGACTCAGTAACTTTTTGCCCAGGCTAGCTAGCCTCAAAACAAGATCATCCTATCTCTGCCTCAAGTAGCAAAGATTTCAGTTATGCCTCAGCATACCCAGCTCTCCTAAGAGCCATTTTTTATTTATGTTTGGACAGGTAGTGCTGATGCTACAGATTCCTGGGCAGTACTGTTAGCCCTTTATAAGGCTGTAGCAATTCTGTCCCTGCTCCCACATGCCATGTGGGCCAGGCCTCATTCTAGTACCCTCCACCGTGTCATAAAAGGCATCAGCAGTCAGTCACTATTCATCTTAAGGGTCAAATCAGGGACTATTAAATGCAAATACTAGAAAATAGCCAGGAATGGCAGTTTGTGCCTATAATCCCAGAATGTATCACTTAAATTTTAAAATAGAAGATAAAATGACTAATGCCGCTGAGTGTGGTGGCTCATGCCTATATTCCTAGCTACTCAGGAGGCTGATACCTGAGGACTGCAGTTCAAAGCCAGCCCAGGCAGGAAAGGCCGTGAGACTCTTATCTCCAATAAACCACCAGAAAACCATAAGTGATGCTGTGGCTCAAGTGGTAAAGCACTAGCCTTGAGTTGAAGAGTTGAGGGACAGTGCCCTGGCCCAGAGTTCAAGCCCCAAGACTGACCAAAAGAGAGAGAGAGAGAGTAATGCCATTAATAGTCCATATGAAATATTATAAAACCATTAAAATGTTTTCAATGGATAATGCCATAGGAAAATGTTCATTTTTAAGTCAGTTCATGTTTTTAAGAGAACAATTCCACTATGATACACAGCTACAACCTTATGGTTTAATATTTCTAACAAGAGAAATAGTGTCAAAATCTTAGCCTTGAAGAAAAAGCCTAAGCAGCTCCAAAGGATTTAACTAAATCCAAGAAGTTGAATACCAGAAATCTCAAAATATAAACAAACAGAGAAAATATTTAAGTAATCTTCAACGGATGATTACTCTCTCACTTTTGTTTCTACTTTACAGTGGAGGAAAACCGGGCTCACAGAGATCACTCACAAGAGGCAGAGGTTTAACCCTGCACAACTGGAACTCAAATCTATGCTCTTCTCCAGTGCAGATTGGTGTCAAGGCCACATCAAAGCTCCAGTTTCCATAAATCCTTCCAGTAGGGACCATCAAAGGGGGAAACCTTCCCAAACAGCTTCCCTGATGACAGCAGAAAGAAAAAGACTTCTAACCCTGCAAGGCCACTACTTGAGAGACAGAGATCAGGAGGAGGGAGGGAGGGAGGGGGTCATGACCCCCATCTCAGCCAATAATCTAGGTGTGCTAGTGAGCCATCATTACACCTGTCACGCCGGCAAAGAGAGGACTGTGTCCAAGGATCACGATCAAGGCTAGCCAGGGCTAAAACAAGACCCTCAATCCGAAGATACCTATGCACAAAGGGTTGGGAGCAGGGAGGCATGGCTCGAGTGGTAGAGTGCCTGCCTAGCAAGCACAGAGCCCTGATTCCAAAGTCCTGCGCCGGTACTACAAAACGAAAGACAAGAACAAGACCGGACCTGTCCTCTACCCCCAAGACGAGGGCCGGGCCAGGGTGGGAAGGGGGGCGGGGCCTGCGTCCCGCGG